GGATATATCTAATAATTGACCTTTTTTTTCATTTTAAATTAAATTTTCTCTTTAAATGGTTGGATTATTTATAGTATTAGAAGTTGTTACCTATGAATTATTCAAACTATAAAGTATTATTGGTTTTTCCATTTTTTTTATTCTTTTATTCTACTTTGTTCTACACTAAAAGAAGTAACTTTTCTGTTAAAGATGAAATCTTCTAAACTTAAAATCAAGATTAAACTAATATTTCAAGATGTTAATTCCTCTTTTCATTGCAATTGCTTCTGCATTTACTTGTGATTCTCTTAATGCAAACACACTTTATAGTCCAGATGAAGCCTTTGAATGTATTGAATCAATTCAAACAACCGAAGAGTTTAACACTAAATTACTTGGAGATATTACGACTTTATTTGAAACATACGTTTACAAAGACATAGTTAAAAATCCACCACAACCATCAATTGATTCTAATTACTTTACATCAGTAGATATAGATGAACGTTTAAAATCCATTAATGTTAAACAAACACAACTTTATTCATTTTATCAAGACATTCAAAGGTTATTCTTTGATATTCATGATCTTCATCTTTCTTTTTCACTCGAATCTAGTGAAAATAATACATACGTCTTTGATTATTTTTATTATTATCTTCCATTTAATTTTAATATTGAAAGAGATAAAAAAGTTTATTTAAGTCCAAGTAATGTTCATGTTAATTATAGTATTCCGGAAATCTTTGAAAAGAACAAAAATATTGAAGTATTATCTATTAACGGTGAACCTCCTCTTAATTTCATTAGAAAATATGGAAATGAACATACAGGTCTTAAATCACCACATGGAAGATTTACTTATGCTCTTGAATCATTTAACTTTGGTAGTTTGGCATCAAATCCATTGACTAAAGAATTCTTTAATACTCCAATTGAGATTAAATGGTCTGATGATTCAAGTGTTATTGTCTCATATAAATTACTTTATCTTCCTACTAGATTTTTATCTAAAAGAGCACAAACAGCACTTAATTTAAGAAGACAAAGAAAAGTATTTTCTCCAATCAAACCACATGATTTATTCCCAGAACTTAAACAGTCATCTAAAAGCGAATTTGATTTAGAAACTTCATTTTCAAGTTTAGCATGTAAAACATATAAAGAAGAAAATAGAAGTATTAATTTGTTAGTATTACAAACATTTTATCCAAGTCCTTTGGAAGAGGATGAATTTTTTGAAGTATTTGAAAAGTGTATACAACAATTTGATTCAAATAATTATCCTATTACTGTTATTCTTCCATTAAATGGAGGAGGATATACTGACCTTGAAAGTAACTTTGAAAATGTTTTAGCACCACATGCTGATACTTCTTTTATTGGAAGTGTTAGAGTTAGTGAAGGAACAGAAAATTGTCTAAAATTTGGTTATGCTAGTTTGTTTGCTGACCCAACAAATTGTTCTGTTAGATTTGATGAACCTCTCCTTTCTAGAAAACCAATTGGTTCATGGTATTCTGATCCAATTATTGATCATTATGGTGATGTTGAACATAAAAGAAGTCAACCATCTCTTGCTCCACCACAACAAATGCTTGCTTCAAGATTAGTAAATAATCCAAGAAAACCAACAGATATTGTTGTATTTACAGATGGTTTTTGTTATTCTGCATGTTCATTATTAACTAAAGGATTAAGAGAAAAAGGAAATGCTATTATTGTTGGATTTGAAGGTGATCCTGAAAAAGAAAATTCATTTTTTGATGCTGGTCAATCACCAACATTTGTTATTGAAGACATTAATACTTTAACACCAGAAGCTTTTGATTTACATACGTATGGAGGTTCAATGCAAATATCTTTCTTTGAAACTTACAGATTTAAATATGATTATAATGAAACTATTCCAAGAGAATTTTTACTTGACCCAATCAATGAACGTTCAAATCTTTATAGTTATAAAGAGTCAATGATTGATTCTTTTGCTGATGAAGCAATTCAAATTATTAATAAATATAAAAATGAATGTGATAGTAATAATAAAAGACTTGTAAAAGTTGATATTGCTTGTGATAAAGAAATACTCATTGAACATGCTCATGGTGGGTATGAATGTGGTGATGATAATAAATGGACAAAGAAATGTGTTGCTTCTTATTGTGACGATGGGTTTAAATTTGATTATGAAAATCAAAAATGTATTATTGATGTATGTTATTCACAAGATGATTCTCAAAGTGATAACGATGATCATTCTTTCAATTATTGGATTGTTATTTCCTTTGGAATCTTAGCTATACTCATTTTAATAATTGCATTAGCAATAGGATTAACTATTGTTATTATTTCTTATAGAAAAATGAAAGCAAAATCAAAATACAATGCCTTCGAATAATTGAGGAAATTTGGTTTAAATAAATATTTCTTTTTTTCTTTATAACAAAAAGGGTGTTTAAAAATGTTATTATCTTTAATAAAAAGAGTAATGAAAAATAACATTTATTATTTTTTTAAATAATACAAATATATTTGTTATACATAACAATTAAATTTTTCAATTCTACTAATTTCAATTAGTTTTAGCAAAAAAATACTTCCTTAGTTCCATTTGACGATAAGTATTCGGTCAATTTTTTCTTTAAAATAACCTGGACTACTTCCAAGTGTTTTAATAGCCCCACCACTTGGAACAACAGTATATGGCAAAGTACCAAAAATATCACCATCAGGTTTATAACATATCTCTAATCTTCTTGTAATAGAAAATGCACAAAAGGCTGTAAGAATTTCAAAGAGAGGATCCGTAGTTAGTTCAAAGCTTTTATTTTCATTACAACGTAACTCAATATAACATTCGCTTTTATCCTTCATCAATTGATAAATTTTAAAACTATCATCCTCATTCCATCCTTTATCGGCTTCAGATTTTTGTTTTGAGTATGTAGCAATACAACAGTCTTCTGTAAGAATAAATAGAGATATATTGGTATTATTCATTGCTTCAATTATTTCATTTCTAACATCCTTTGCTCCATCCTTAGTAGAATTTCTGTTATAATAAAATAACTCTTTAGGTACTTTCTTTTGAAACTTTTCATTTTTTTTTTGCAAATATGCAGGAGCATATTCTCTAAATGAATTTTTTAATGTTTTTATTGGGCGAAGTACTTCCATATCACTAGGAGATCCGCTTTCAGTACTACTTTCTTCATCATCATATTTTTCGGTATCTATTCCTTGACTATCACTTTCACTATCACTTTTATTATCACTTTCACTATCACTACTTTCACTATCACTACTTTCACTATCACTGGAATGTAATTTTTCCTTATCTTCTTTGGTATGATCCTTTTGGCCTTTACGTGGCTTTGTGCTATCAGTTTTACTAGACTCACTACCTTTTGTTTCATTAGTACTTAGCTTTGAATTAATTAGTTTTTCAGACTCTAACTTTTTCATATAAGAGGTTATGTGTAAAAGACTTTGCAACGTAAGATTTAATAAATGAAATGAAACACAATCACTACGAGTGACATATTGGTTTTGAAAATAATTCAACAACTGTAGAATATTAAAAACATCATTATTAATGGTTTCTAGTGTTATTTCTTCTTTAGAGCTATTTTCCTGGTTGACAAATGACATTTGTTTTGTTTCGCTATTGCATTGTTTGAAAACATTGTTTTCTAAATTTTGGGATTGGCACATATTATATAAACAACCGTTCATTGGAATTGGATTAATTCTGAACTGTTGACCTTCATAGCTTTGTTGCTGACCTTCATAACTTTTTTGTTGAGTATATACTTTTGGTGTGATGCCTCCAAATACGATATTATGATCATTGATATTGGGTGAATAAGATGTTGGATTCATTAATAAATAAATGACACTTATTAAATCTTTAAATATAAAACTTTCATTTAAAAAAAATAAAAAAGAAAAATAAAAAAAGTGAACAAGAAATGATG